GTATTAAATTTGAAAGGTCATATCTACGTGGGTTTGATTACAGAAACTAATAAAGTATTCTCTAAAAAATGAAAAAAAGAATAATATAAGACTACAAGAGCAAGAAGCAACTTAAATATGTTCAAGGACCATTTTCATCTTCAGAATTTAGGATTATTTTAATTTTACATCATTGCCTTTTCTCTTTTACTTTCCTTTTTAGTTTTATTTTAGGATTCCCTATTTTTAATGTTCATATTGAGATTTTTTTAACTGAAATACCGAATAGTTTCTCTGATGTGAAAAGCTATAATAGTACTTAAGATCCTAATGAGATAATTAATATGTGAAATAGGAAGTAAAGGGCTAAAGGTGTAGGGAAAGTGGGATAGGTAGGGGAAAGGTAATAAGGGAGAGGAAAAAAATATGAGAAAAATCAAAAAATGGAAAGAAAGTGTTTGTAAATGGGGAAGGGAGGAGGGGGTGAAGGGAGGGCAGGGACAAGGGGGAAAAATGAGAATCAAGACCTATCATGTAAAGGTACAGGATCCCAATAATGAATGTAATTGTATTGTATACCTAGATTGTACCAATAGACTCAATAAAAATAAAAATAAAAAGAAATAAAAGGGATATACATAGAAAAGGAAGAAGTCAGGTCTGGAGATTTAGCTCAGTGGCACCCCACCTGCCTTGCAAGACCAAGGTCCTGGGACTGGGGTCGGATGGCGGGGCGGGGGGAGAAAAGGGAGAAGTCAAACAATCCTTATCTGCAGACCACATAACTATTTACATAGACAATCCAAAATATTCTGCCAAAAGACTCCTAAAACTAACAAAATTAGGAAGGTAGCAGGATACAAAATCAATACACAAAATTCAATAACATTCCTGTACACCAATAATGAACCCACCAAGAAAGAAATTAGGGAAACCACACCATTTACAATAGCGTTAAGAAAATTTAAATACTTAGGAATTAACCTAACAAAGGAAGGGAAAGACCTCTGTGACAAAAACTATAGTACTCTGAAAAAAGGAGATCAAAGAAATCATCAGAAAATGGAAAGATATTGCCTGTCTGGATAGGCAGAATGAATATTGTGAAAATGACCATAGTCTCCAAACTGATATATAGATTCGATGTAATCCCGATAAATACCAATAGCATTACTCATAGAGATGCATTAATTTGTTGACATTTCTGGTCTTCTGCTTAATGGTCAGTACTGCTTCCTTGGTCCTAGGGATACAGATACTGGCTTTAGAAGTGATGGTGATGTATTTAAAGGTCCAAGGGTATGGCTGTACAGAGAAAGCATCATCAGCTAATAATGGAACCTGATATAGATCTTAATCTGCCTTTAGGTGGCTATGGTAAAGCAGGAAAGGCCCTTGTGATTCTATGTTCATTCCCATTCTGTGCATCTAGAGAAAGAGAATGCTAGCAAGGTTATTTGAGATGAAATAAGAGAATGATTTTGGTCTCCTAGAAATGCCAAGTACTTAGCTTCTGGAAATAACACATTTTGGAGTTAGTCTTCCCTATACGTGTGAGGATTGTTTTGTTCAGGTTCTTTTCTTTGTTTACTTCCTTCCTTTCTTTGTTTTTCTTCCTTTCTTTCTTCCTTGCCTATTCAAAGAAACAGAAGTTCCAAACTTCTACTGGGGTCTTGGATTTTGTTTTGGATACTTTTTGAAACTAGCATACCACTAGTTTATTATCTCATAGTTTCTCATTCTTTTTTCTCAGTATTTTTATTGAGTATTTCTTTCAATGTTGTCTTAGTCAGTTGGAGCTGCTGTACCTAACCATTATAGATTTGGTGGCTTAAGCAAGAGAAATGTATTTCTCACAGTTCTGGAGGCTAGGAAGTCAGAGATCTGCTGGCAGATTTAGGGTCTGGTTGGTGGCCTCTTGTTGGTTTGCTATGCCCAACTTCTCATCCTATCCTCATATGGCCAAATGAGTAAGCTCTAGATTCTTTCTCTTACAAAGACCTGGTGGGTCCTCTACTTTCATGAGCTCATCTAAACTTCACTACTCCCAGAGGCTCCCTGTCTTAATACCATCCCATTAAGTGTTGGGGTTTTACTGTATGAATTTTGGTGATAACATGCTATCTTTAATACTCTTCCTGGAAGGTCATATTTTCCTGTCTAAATTGGATTTGTGTTTTACTTTTGGCTTCCTCCAGTCTCTGTAGCCTTGGATTCATTTTTAGATCAGTTGGAATGAAAGTCCTTTGGCACTATACAGAATTTAAGCAAAATGACAAGAAACCAAATGTTTCTGTCGCTTGTTAAGCTCCTGGGGTGATAGAATGAGGCTTACTTGCAACTAATCATGAAACACAGAATCACGTTGACAAGTCTTTTACTGCTTTTTGTAGAAAGCAAAAGGAAACAGGAATAGAATTTTTTAAGATAAAAAGGATTAGCTCTGATCATTTCTGGCATGGCTCTAAGGTTCATTGCAATTTCTCATATATTGTCCTGTCCAAAGAATTTCCCAGTAAATACACCTTAAAAAAAAATAAGGACTATCATTTGTATTTGTTATATTGCTTTGTAAGGCAATGTAATATAATATAGTGATTTATAATGTAAAATTTTTTTAGTGATTTATAATGTAAAATTTTTTTAGTGATTTAAAATGTAAAATTTTTTCCTAGGAGGTTAAATTGTTCATGTTTGAAAGTTACAAATGTCAGTCTTCATCTATAAATTCATCCTGAGACCTAAGATATGGAACATCTATTTATGGAGGATTAGCTGTGTTGTCTGTCACTCAGCAGCCTAAGGGACTGCAGAGGGCAAGTGTTAAAGTAAATCTCACTTACTGGGAGATAGGTCATGCAGTGAGAAAGCTGAAAGGGTATGCAGCTCACTCATTTACAGATGAAGAAAATGAGTCCCAAAGCAGGATCCTGACTTCCAAAAGTAGCAGTTGGTTGTAAATTGAATGGCATGTGGGTCAAAGATGGGGAGGATGGTAATCTCAGCCCTTATTCCCACCATTCTGTTCTGTGCCAGTCGTAACTAATTGGGTTTGGACCAGAGTGGATCAGGAAACACCACTTTGGACAAGTGTGAAGGCAGGGATTCGCCAAGCTACGAGATAAAATTAACTAATGTTGCTGAAAGATATTGTATAGTGGTGTAATTTTTAGACTTGCAAGATGAAACAGGCCAGTAGGTTTCTTTTACTTTGAGGGCCAGCTTCTTGGAGACATTACAGTGCAGTGTTCCTCCAAATCTCTGCAGAGTTACAATGTTCAGCATTTCCCACACTTGCTGACAGGGAAATCCTCTTCTTACAGATAAACTATAAGACAAATAATGCCCCAAAACTCATTGGAAAAGGCCAGTCCCAAATCCCTTATTTATTTATGAGGATAGGAAGCCACAGTGATGTTTTATGGGACCAGACTTCCAATTTGGAAAAAGATATCCTCATATTTAACTATGCCTTAGAACATGCCCATTCTGAATTACTATGTCACTGTATATGGAAATAATAGTTTCAGGAATGTACCAAGTTAGATTCTGAGATTATTTGTTTAACTTAGGGGCCATGGTGCTATCTTGGATTTCCCTGCATTGTATGAAATTATAGAACTGACCTGGCTTTTCAATGCCTTCCAAACAACTAGTGTTCAATGTATCAACAAAACTGAGCTTATCCCCAACCTTCCCCGCCTCCTCTCCCCTCCCCTCTCTCTTTTCTTACTATTCTTTCTTTTTTGAGACAAGGTTTTTCAAACTTGCCTAACTTTCACGGCTGGGTTTGAATTTGCAATCCTCTTGCCTCAGCTTCCCAAAGTGCTAGAACTACAAGCATGTACCACCATGCCTGGCTTGTTGTTTACTGCCTATTTTTGATGTTGTCAAACTTTCAACTTCAGATACCATGCAACTGATCATCAAAAATTAGTGCAGAGACAGGGACAAGGGGAAAAAATGAGAACCAAGACCTGTCATGTAAAGGTACAAGATCCCAATGATGAATGTAACTGTACTGTATACCTAAAATGTACCAATAAACTGAATGAGGGAAAAAAAATAGTGCAGAGAAACCCTCTCCTCTTTGCTTTTTTCCAGGAAAAAAAAACTCTGATTTGTTCCCAACAATGATGGAAAACTGAATAAGATAGTGCAAACTCTGTCAGGTGAATTAGACATTTCTGGACTGCTCATTACCTCATAAAGAGCAATAATAACTAATCATTTTTTAAAAAAGAAATGAGAACCACTTAATAAATTATTGTCCAAGGATGGGTTAGATGGGTTTGTGTGATGTATAAGGGACATGAAAATGTCAGCTTCTCCACATATCCCTCTCTTACTAACTAGAAATTATGTGACAGCTGCTCCCCCCGGCCAGATCATATGAAAATTAGTGAACATAAAAATCTATATTCAATTTTTTAAAATTGCTGCTTGACTTAGAGGCACCTTTTATGCAATAAATTCTCTATGTTCATAAATTCACAAGCATACTTAGATACATGTAATGTGAAATTTTCAAACAGTAGGACTTATTTTTAAAAACAATTTAAGGTTATATATTTAAACAAATACCTGGGAAATAATTTTTCTGAAAAAAATATACAAATATGCATATGCACACCATACACATGTAATTTGTGTGTGAGGGGCAAGGGTTAGAGGTACCCTTTATGCAGTTAGTTCACAAGCCACATAAGAGATTGGGCTTTGCTAGTTTATATACCATGTGGAAACTCTTTAGAAGTTAGCAGATTATACTGGTACTTTTTGAGAAGCATCATTTTAAAAAACTGGTTGGAGATAGGCAGTACGTTGTGGTAAAAGTTGATCTTTTTTTTGGTAACAGTTGAATACCTGTGGATAATGGGTTGGAAGAGGCATTCTGGATTTAGCTATGTAGGGGGAAGAATAGAAGCAAAACACAGAAAACCAATGACTATTCTGATTTCAATACAGAGATCAAGAGACTTGCAACTTCAAAGTTAGAGCTCTCTGAACAGTGAAATTTAGGGAAAGAGCTCACTTAAGAAATTTCTGTCCAAATCCATGAGAAATCAGGAGCAGGAGAAAAGGAACCTAGAAACAGGTAAGAGGATAATTTAGTATTTTTAAGTCTCTCTTTTGTCTGTTTATGTATTTGTCATGGGGTCTGATTTTAAGAAACATCAGTAAGAGGAGGTAGGAGTATTTAGAAGGAAGAGTGGGCAACATTACAGTGAAATTTACTGTGTCCAACATAGATTTTGAAAAGCAGATAACCCTTGAGAGGTTTGATCATTTGAGAAAGCCCTTTTCAGTGTTTGTACAAATCTGCATTCATACCTATGTGCCTGCTGTGTTACTGAATTTATATGTTTCACAATTGAATGTATTTAATTATATACTTCAAAATGTATTTTTGATGTGTTTCTACTTAGCTAATATCTGTTTGACTTAAAGCTCTACATTGAGTAGAAAGGAATAGCAATATGACAAGGTCAGAACACATTTTATATTCCTTACCACAGTGTTTGGGGTTCTCCATTACATGATTTCTACCTCACAGCCTTCTGTTGCTTTGTTAGGCATACCTTACACTTGATCCAAATGAGAAGGGGATCTGTAGAAGGAGGGACGGGGGAGAAAGAGGAGGAAGGGGAGTGCAAAGAATTAAGATGTGTCATGACCACGTACCAGCTCCCCACGATGAGTGTCATCATTGTGTACTAAAAACGTGTACCAATAAAAACGAAATACACTAGAAATATTAATCAGACTATTTCCCAAACACTCCACATGCCTTCCCACTTTCTGCTACTGCTCATAGTACCCACTTATCCTGGAGTGGTCTTTCCCCTCCCACTTCTGGCTTTCAATGTCCTATCTAAAGCTCACCTAAATGCTAGCTCCATGCTTGGGTTCGAGATGGATGACATTTATCAGATTTCTGAAATATTATTTGGCTTTTCTCAAAATCTCAATGAATTTTACAAAACAAGTCAATAATTACAATAAAAGTCAAAATCCCTAGTACTGCATAAAATAAAAATAAATCAATAATGGCAGTAAGAAAGAAACTTAACATGATATCTACTAGAAATTCTACACAAAATCTCATTCACAGTGAAAAATAATACTTTAATACCTAGGAATACACTTACATTATTTAATGCAAAAGATGTATATAAAGTCATTAAACTTTGCTCGTGAATATAAAAAGGAACTGGATGGATCACATTGTGCCCATATAAACTGTTGCAAAAAAAATCTATAAATTCAATGTCAGTATTTTAAAGATCCAGAAATAATTGTTATGGAACTTGACAAGGTAAGTACTTCTGAAAGAACAAAAGAATAGTCAAATGAATTTCAGAAGGATATAGGCAGCTTGCCCTACTGATATCAAAGCACACTAAAGATCTACAGTTAAATAAAATAGTGTGATACTGACTTAGGAACAGTAGAACAGATTAGCTGAAGAGAGAGACTATACTTTTTAGGGAAATTAATAAACTGGTTCTAAAATTAATATAGACCATATCCAAGATAAGATCCAGATACATCTTGAAGATAAGAATAAATATCTTGAAGATAAAGAATAGGTGGGAGGATTTTCTCTTGAAGAAATCAGACATACTATACAGCTACAGAATGAAAATGGCATGATACTGATGCAGGACAGACGCTCCTGTGGATAGGATAGGTAGCTTAGAGAGAACTCACACATGTGAGTGGGGAAACAAATAAACTTTCCATAAAGGATGCCCGGATAATTGGTTAGTCATATTAAAAAATAAAATTAAATACCTCCTCCTCGCCACCCAAAACATAACTTCCAGGTAGGGTAAAGACTTAAAAGTAAAAGGCAAAACTAAAGCTTTTAGAACAGCGTACGAGAATGTATCCTTACAACCTTGAGATATGAAGTACTTTTTTATTGAAAGCACTAGGCATAAAAGCGAAGATTGATGACATTGACTACATGAAAATTGAGAACTCAAATGCCAATATGAAAAGTCATGAGGAGGAAGATATTTGCAACACATGATCAAAGAATTAACAACCATGATAAAGACCTGTAGATATGTGAGCAGAGTCAACAGTTCAACAGAAAAACAGGCAAGAAACTTAGACCAACTCTTTTCAAACAGTAACAAAACACCACATTGGCTAATATGATGAGGGTGTGTAGTGGGTATAGCTCAGTGGAAGCATTTGTGCAGCATGCATGAGGTTCTGAGTTTGATCCTAAGCACTGCTAAAAAGAAAAAAAAAATGAGTAAAGACTTCAACCTCACTAGGTGTCATAGAAATGCAAAACAAACCGCAAGATTTACTAGTGTGCACCCATCAGAGAATCTAACTTTTTGTAAATGGGAAGGGAACCAAGAGATGAAGGGGAACGGGAGGGGGAAGCAGATGAAAGAAAAATGAAGATGTGTAGTGTACGTGCACCAATTCTCCAAAAAGAATGTGATCCGTGTGTACTACAAACAAACCTGTACTAAAATAAAATAAAAACAAAAAAATTTAAAGCAGACAAAACTAAGCTACACTGTTTAGGAATGCATACATATATGGCAGAGATAAAAGCAAGAACTTTATTACTATCAAGGTCAGAGTAGAGATGACCTTGCTAGGTTTGAATGGTTGTATATATGGGTCCTCACCTTACTAATGTTTACTAAATTGCATATAAATTTTTATACTCTTCTATGTCTTACATATCACTGTAAAAACAAAAACTAAAGTCAAGGGCAAAAAGCAGAGAAAGTTGAAGGAACAAAACAAAACTAGGGAAAACACAAGAGACTCTAGGAACAGGCATATATGTTAATGTGTGAAGAAGTGTCATTTCAAAATCAGTTTATTTAATAAATCACAGTGTACCCTTGAGTTATGACCAGCCTCATGAACAACTTAGGTTATAACTGGAATTTTAATTTTAACTTATGACCAAGGTCTTGAATTATGACCCAAAGGCTGGCCACTTGTACTTCCAGATGGTGGAAGATGCAGATTTAACCCTTAAAGAGTTCTGGAAGGAACATTACAACATCCTCTCCTGTGTGGGGTTAATTGTGAAATCCTGGGCCAGTGTCTCTTTAAGGACACTGAGCTCTGCATGAGAGAGACTTTGAAGATGTGTAGAGGAGCCTGAGCCTTCAATTGACCAACTAGTTACAATTAGCCCTCAGGAACTAATTGAGTTCATAAGTCAAGGGTCCATTATGTTAAAGCTGGAAAACAGATTGATAGGTATGACTGCAGGTTAATTAAAACTTCTTTGGTCACAAACACCACAGACAATTTGGAGAAAATATTTACAGTACACAAAGAGACAAATTATTGTATCCATAGTATATTAAAGATGCTTAAAAATAAATATAGAGACAGTAATATGAGCACATAGTTGTCAGAATAAAAGAAATTGACATTTTAATAATGAAAATACATTCATATTTAAATTGAATCATATTTGTATTTGAAATCCACCAGCATTTTTTAGTGTCAGAAGGTGAGGAAGTGCTTGCTCAAGTGCACACATGCATGCGCACACTCACACACACACACACACACACGCACACAGTGGTGGGCGTCTGTCAGAGAGGCACAGGAGCCAATGCTAAGAGCTCCCAATAGCCAAAGCTGGAACTATTTACGTAACAAAAGAAACAAGAAGTATTAGATTATCATAGCCCAAAGTATGTTGTAAATATCTGTGACTCTACTGATACAAATAAATGATTAAATCAATAAACTGGGGAGAAGAGAAAAGTCTCCTATGTTGAAGAATTTCAAATAATTGATATTTTCTGTCTACCTTCAAGGAAAGGGTAAGATTCCCCATCTTTAGGTTTGGGTGTGCAGAGTGCCTTCTTCCAAAGTGTAAGGTCGGAAGAAAGGGAAGAAAAAAGAGTAACTTTATGGAGGAGAAAACTGACTGACACTGTAGGCCTGCTATCTTTGAAAACACTGAGGGCAGATTTGGACAGAAAGTTTCAGGTAATTAGTGGTAAATATCCACAGTCATGCTGCCCAGCACTGTAGCCAGCAGTTGTTTAAGTAAAATATTTACAAATTCTCAACCATATACTAAGCAGGTCCGACCCTGTTTAGCTTCCGAGATCAGGCATGTTTAGGGTAGTGCGTCCTCAGGCTACAGATTCCATTTTACAGCCGCACTAACTGCATTTTGAAGGTCCCCTAAGCGCATGTGGTGACAGACTACTGTATCAGACGGAGCCGGCACAGACCGTCCCACCATGGCAGGGACTCTGGGACACCCCTCTTCCAGGAAAATTAAGCCAATGGAGAAAACAAAAGAGGTAGAGAAAAATAGCAACTCAGAAAAAACATTAAGTAGGAAGTGAAAACAATCATTATATACAGTATTCAGCTGTGAATAGCCTTTGGCGAGTCACAGTGATGTAAGCTGGGAGTTGTAAATGACACATCTAGCATCGAATTGGTTGGGGAGTGGAGGAGGCCAGGTTTGTGTCTGGGAGCACTGGGGTTTGCACGAAGATAGCTAAGTCTCGTCTTCCCGGATTGGAACTTAACAGAGGATGCATACAACTCCAAAATCAGGAAGAAGCAATAGATTTTTTTTTTCTTTTTATTGAGTTTATTGGTACATTACTGGTATACAGTACAGTTACATTCATTATTGGGATCTTGTACCTTTACATGACAGGTCTTGGTTCTCATTTTTTCCCCTTGTCCCCACCCTCCCTTCACCCCCTCCTCCCCTCCCCATTTACAAACTTTATTTCCATTTTTTCATTTTCTCTTTTTTTTTATCCCTTATTCCTTTTCCCCTACCCTTCTCACTTTCCCTACACCTTTAGCCCTTTTCTTCCTATTTCACACTGTTAATTATCTCATTAGGATCTTGTATACTATTACAGTTTTTCACACCAGAGAAACTATTCAGTATTTACACGTGTGACTTATTTATTTCACTTAGGAGTATATCCTCAATATGTATCCATTTTCCTATGAATGAATCTAATTTCTCATTCTTTATGGCTGAATAGTATTCCATTTTATAGAAAACCACATCTTCTTTATCCATTTTCCAACTGATGGGCAAATGGGCTGTTTCCAAGTTTTAGCTATTACAAACTGTGCCACTGTAAACATAGATGTGCATATATCACTGTGATATGATTCTTTTAGTTCTTTTGGAAAGATACCCAGCAGAGGTATGGCTGGGTCAAATGGAACCTCTAGTCCCACCTCTGTGAGGTGCCTCCATATTGGTTTCCACAGTGGTTGCACCAGTCTGCACTCCCACCAACAATGGAGAAAGGTTCCTTTCTCCCCACAACCCCACCAACATTTGTTATTGTGTGATTTCTTGATAGCAGCCATTCTTTGTGGGGTGAGGTGGAATCTTAGTGTTGTTTTCATCTGCATCTCTCGAATGACCAGTGATGTGGAGCATTTTTTCATATATTTACTTGCTGCTTTTACTTCTTTGTCGGAGAAACATCTGTTCATTTCAGATGCCCATTTTTGAATTGGGTCTTTATATTTGTGGGGGGCTGATTGTTTTAAACATGTGAAGGTATATTTAAAAAAAAGATTCAGCAAGATGAGTTTAAGTGATGACTCTGGAGAAGAGAAAAAGGAGGACAAGTGGAAATGGTTGTTGACTTAGCAATAAGCTTGAAAAACTCTTTGACTCTCTAATTATGTACATACAAGTGGTGATTAAAAGATACACTGAGGGCTGGGGTTTTGGCTCAGTGGCTCCATCGCCTGCCTCTCAAGTGCAAGGACCCCATTTCGACCCCCATTACCAAAAAAAAAAAAAAAAAAAAAAAGATACAATGAACATTTTACATTTTAGAAATTTATTACTGTAAAAGACACATTGTCATTAATCCTCCTTCTGGAAATGCTCCTCCTTGTTTTGGACACACTTATCCGATCATTCCTGCCACTTCTGAAGCAGTTCTGGAATTTCCTTTTCTCTGTGTCATTGTACACTTTATTCAGCAGTTGCATTGTGTGACTCTGTCTCTTCACCAAAGTCAAAATGACAAGGGAAAATAAACTCTTTGAGTCAATTCAGGATGAACGTTCCTCTAAAGTTTGGCTGTCAGCACCTAACTGTATCCTGCTTTGTATTGTATTAAAACCCCTAGTGATTCATAAAATTTTAGACTAACTGCTGTCTGATTTCAGAGCTTTGTGATAATTTGGTATTTCTACTTAATACAGAGTAAGGAGAAAAAAGTCAATAAAATACACAAACAGCAATAAAAATAATAATAGTTAATGTTTATTGAGCACATACTATGTATAAGACATATGATAAGAACCTGCCAGTCCATCAGGGTGTCAGTTTATTTCTGTTTATTCCTGAAGGTAGTACCATTATTTTCTCTTTAGAGGGTGTAATTCCAGACTGGCAGAGTATAGTAAGGAAGTGGCAATGTTTTAATTTAGGGTGATTAGGTGGGAAATTGCAAGCTGCTTGCTGAGCTACCTGCCCCTGTGTAATCAGGATTAAAACATTACTAGCCTTCCTATGACTCCCTTCTCATGTGCCTTCAAATTATTAGGGTGAATTTTAGCAGGCCAATTTAGCTAGAGCTTTGGGACTTTATCTTGAGGAGGGATTGCTCCTAAGAGGTCTAAGCCAGGGTGGTTTTATGTGGACTCACTTCTGGCCTCCTAAATGGTGAGACCCTGATCCTGGGCTACTGATTTCACCAAGTAAGTGGAGTTTGGGGTTCTTTTCATCTTTACTGCCATAGTATTTTCTCTTTTGACTGCTGTAATATTTTCAAATGATATATGAAGAGTGTTTTAGTCTATTTGGTCTGCTATAATAGAAAAACTGTCCTCTGAGTGACAGAAGCAACAAAAATAAACTTTTCACAGTTCTGGAGGCTGGAAGGATGAGGTTAGGATGCCACTGTGGTTGTATTCTCATGAGGACTTTCCTTCTGGTTGTGCATTGTCAGCTTGTGTCTTCATGAGGTAGAAAGCGGGCAGGGCAGCTCTGTGGGGCCTTCTAACCCCTATGAGCCTCAAACCCAGTGCCTTTGCACACTGAGCTATATCTTCAGCCCTTCTTAACTTTATTTTATTTTTTTGTTTTCTGAGATGGTCTCTCTAAGGCACTAAGTTGCCAAGGCTAAGCTCAAATTTTCAATCTTCCTGTCTCAGCTTCCCAGAGTGCTGGAAATACAGACATGAACCATCACGTCCGGCTGTGGCCTCTGTTATCCATGCAGGATTGTTTTCTCTCATGACCCCAGTGACCCCCAGCCCGATCTCCTAGTACTGTGATATTGGAGAGTAGAATTTCAACATCTGAAATTGGGGGGGATACAAACACCTCATATCAGAAGAGCAAATTAGATTACACACATTTTACAAAGCTAATGATTCCTGAGGTCATCAAAATGCACAACTGTTTTGGAGGGTGACTGACAAACTTTATCAATTTTGGAAATGTGCAGATAACCTCTGTTTTAGTCATTTTACATCTAGAAATTACACTTCATACAAGTATGCAAAGATAATGTATAATAATGCTTACTGTGTGCTTTGTTTTTTCAAAGCCAAAAATGGTAAAATAATCTAAGTGTTCAAGAGTGAAATGATTAAACAAATTATATTCTAATCCATTTAATACAATTATTTCTGAGAAATAGACTAGGATATGTCTGTAAATTTTCATAAAAGATGCCCATATATTTTGTTAAATATATAAATTTATGTTAATATTCCTCTTAAAATATCTGAAATGTAAAATTGACTACCTTTGAGAAGGTCTATGCTTATTATTTACTTTATATAATTTTGTCCCAATACCTAGTTTACAACTACCGTGAGTGATTTCATTTGGCCATAGGACCTGTGAGAACATACAAGATGAACAGGTATAATTAATTACCAGTTCAAAATAGTGTTGAATATTATTTACCACCAGATGAATCGTGGAAGGGGAAGAAAAAGAAATATTTTGAATATGAGATTACTTTCTAACATTTTACTTTAAAAAAACTATGCATATCACAATATGTTTAGTTTCCAAGCTATATCCAGTTTTGAATGGCCCATGGGTTTTTGCCTCCATTTGGGAGCAACCCAGAAAAACAGCATTGCTCTGTGCTGTAAGACCTTGTGAGATTTGTTAAGTTTGTTAACTATAAGGACAGAGAGACAGAATTAGATTTTAAAATTTAAAAGTTCATGAGCCAAATAAAAGTGTAAGTTTTAAGAACATTGTTGGATGATCTTTTCAAAGCAAATGTCTTATCCTCTGATTTGCCCAATAGCACATTTTTTTCTCCCACTATAGTAGTAACTTATTAATTTCCTGTTTCTCTACTGCTGTTCAGCAATGAAGACCTTTTGGGCTTGCATCCACATTTTGCTTCTAGAAGCCAGGAGCCATAAGTTAATGGGAAAGCAGCAACCCAGCTACATCAGAGAGGCTCGGTCTTCTAACAGCTGTCTGGACCTGGGGAGGGAGAAGGTAATGAACTTAATGTAGTCATGCTCCTTGGTTTAGTGACAGCACAGGACGGGGGCCTAGTCTTTCCAGTGACATCCTGTAGATATCTGCATAGATAATTTTTATCTATCTGCATAGATAATTTTTCCTTTAATTTCACTCATTACATTTTAAAAAATAGCTCATGGGCAACTTGATGTTCTCTGGAATATCATTCTTTTACTTCTTACATTAACAGCAGTAACTTGTTTGTAGCTCATCTGGTGAGCATGACCCAGGCGAGTGTGTGTACCTCCTTGAAGAACAGACAAATGTTATGAAGAAAGCATCTGCGTCAGGGTCAAAGGCCCTACGGCCATGCTGTTTTCTCTAAATTCTTTTCCGTGAAAAGATATTGAGTGAGACTGCAGTAAATGAAAAAATGAAACCTAAATTTGACCCTCAGAGATTGGAAATTAGGTAAAATTCCACTACCTTTGAGTAGTTCTAAGAAGCAATCTGTTACCCTTTATCCTTTAGTGGAATTGATGAACAGGTGGTTTTCAGAAGATCACTCAGTATATTTAGCTTCTGAAATTTGAGCACCTCAAAATCTGATTGGCTGCTCTTGCCGCATGATAATTCCCAGTGCAGGCACCAAACTAGCTTTTGCTTGGGGTTCTCAGGAGGGGAGAGTTGGGAGAGGATTTGCTGCTGAGGAGGTTTATTTGATAACTTGAAGGTAAGGCTAGTTTATGTTTTCTCCTGTAGCGTTCTCTCAGATGTTCCACAACTTCTTTGAGGTATTTCAAAATTTGGGGTCCTAACTGGGAAAATAGTGGTAGTAATACAGGAGCAAAGACTGTAACCCTAGTGCCCTACAGATGCCCTATTAATCTCTGGCATGTAGAGTTTCTGACGACAGTAAAGTCCTGCACTAACCAGTTTGTGGCTTGGCACTCTTTGTGTAACAAGATTTTTTTTTTTTTTGTCTTCAAGTTTTTTCCTAAATATATTAGTTTGAAAAGGGCTCTATGATCTGCGTTCCTATATTTATCCTGTTCTACTGGGCTTCCTTTGCCCCAGAAGGAGTGGCAGTTTCGCTAGCTTAACAAAACCAGCCACTGTAGGGTATTGGTTTACACAGCAAGCATCTCTGGGCGAAGGGGCAGCTGCTCTAAGCTATCACCCTCTCATGTGGGGAGTCCCACTTGCTGGCGTCAAACTGCAAAGGCCTGAAGAGAGCTTTTCCTTAGTCCCTGAATTAGAAGCTTAGGCCAGAGGCCTACGATCTTACATGTACTTCAACCAATACTTTAAACCTTGTTGTTTTTCAGGGTTAACAAGAGCTACAGAAAGGAAAGAAAAAAATCCGTACAAACCAATGGTTTTCCGAAAGAGAATAACCGCATTGCCTTGAGGTTTCCATTTTTTCTTTTAAATTTTATTGATAGATTTTTTTTTTGTCTAATGTGAAATGTGACCTCTACTGTGTGTACTACAGCTATATTTAAAGCTAAATGAGTCTTCTTAGAATTTGGGTGACAGGAGGGAAGGTTCTTTCGCTAAAAATTTTGCTTTGAAAATGTTTTCTCTCCAAGTGTTTAGGAATTAAAATTCTCTGTTCAAGTCCAAATTCTTTCATTCCTTCCTCAATTTCCTTTTATAACTTTAACTAAACTGATTTTATAGAAGTAGTAATACTCAACATGTTCCTGAGGTAATCAGGAGAAAGATTCTGAGGCGTCTGTTGTTTAATTTGCTGTTTTAAATGTCTCTCTTAGTGTGCAAAAGTATGTGATTATGTAGACCAGACAGGATTTAAATTCTATTTTGCTATAAGATCTGTCCTGAGGATAGATTCTAATGTATTTTCATTTGTATGGAATATGGAAAGTTTGTAGGTGCCACTACTACTCTGAGAAAATGGCGGACGACGAAGAATATGAAGAGGTGGTGGAGGTAAGATTAAAAAAATAAAAACTCTAGCAGCAAAGTACTTTTTGTAGTGACAATCAGAGCTGTGTAGGTAGATCATTCATTAAAAAAATACATTGTCTATAATAATTTTACAAAGAGTCATCGTTAAATCTTAAAGGAATATTTTACGTTCAGTTTCACTGTAATTATGTGGGGTTTAGAATTGAAAGGAAATATCACTGTTTCACATTTTTTGCTTTTCTTTAAATTTTAAACCCAGCAAAGTGGGAGGTACAGGCAGTTTTTACTTTTTCTTCTAAAACTGCTTTATTTCCTACCTCCCAACACCAGTGATCAAAGGGACAAAGGTAAGGAAGACCAAGTTTTGAGAACTAAAAGCTGAACTCTGTTTCTCAGTGTCTGCACAATAGGGGAAAGGGAGCTACTCCTTCCTCTTTGCTTCCACTAGGGAATCTCTGTAGGGCAGTGTGGGTTCCATATTCAGAATAATCATATATGTGTGTGTGTGTGTGTGTGTGTGTGTGTGTATGTATATATGTGGGTCTTTATATATGTGTATATATGTATATGAGCACACATGCCAATTAATATAAAAACATGTGAATACACTTGTGAAGGTCACGAGTGAGGGACAGAGCCACCTTCCCATCAATACCATTATATTTACCCAAATAAATAAGACTAGATTTTGCTTTTGAATCTTTAATAAGAACAAAGGCTATAGTAGGCATCTTGAAGAATACTCTCCACATTATTGGAGGGGAATTGATGTATTTTGTATTTATTAATTACTTATTTTGCATTTTATATAATTTTGTTTTGACCACGTTATGGCTTTTGCTCACCAGTTCTCACCTCCATATTCTAGAAATAAAATCAGGCTTGGGGCTCTTATCCATACAAATACATTCCCACGAATCTGCAAGTACTTACTAATTTCCAGTTAATGATGATAATGTAAACATGTGAAAATCTCCAAGTGACTATGACAGTTGGAGGCAGTTTTGAAAATACGTGCTTTTTGTTTTTGTTTTGTTTTTTTTGGTACCAGGGATTGAACTCAGGTCCTTGTGCTTGTGAGGCAGGAGGTGGAACCATTGAGCTACATCCCCAGCTTGAAAATGCGTGCTTTTTAATAAGACTGAAATTAATTAATTATAGGAGCTGCTCAAAACTGAATTCCAGATGAAATACCAAAATTTGTCTTTGGAAAGTTATTTTAGCAACCGGTCTATATTTGGATGTAGGAAACTTTTATTCTATAAATAAGATTACCTTTATTACTGAAGGATATATGTAAAAAATCAGAAAGGATCTCTTACAGTGTAGGATGTAACCTCTATGGGTTACACACAAATGGCCCCTCCTCCCTGGTCAATATTATCACTAGTGTGCATTTTGTACATGTCCCTAAGGGTCAGAATTATCACTATCCAACACTAACACAATTACAAATTAAATAAACTTCCTACGATGATAATGTTGAGAACATTTTTTAGCCTCCAACTTGAATATTCCTCATCTCTCTTAAAATAATTTTGTCCATTTGTCACTGAAAATTGTCCTTAGTGCTAGACTTGATTGATTTAACTAGTCATAAAAATGGAAGGGGCTATTTTTAGGCAGCCCATCCTCACCATTTTGTTCCCATTACTGCTTCTGAGTCTGACCAGCAGGTGCTAAACAGATAGACTTGCCTGCCAAAAAGTGTTGAACTGAGGTCTCTTTGGTCTCCAAACAGATCATGAGCATGGAAGAGTAGCAGATTCAAGAAAATTGTTTGGGAAGCAGTTCAAAAAACAAGGACCAGCTTTAAAAATATATCTTCTAGGGATCTTGGACATCTGAAATAAAATTTACTGTCACTGTCTATTTAAACTTAAACTTGGAAAGAAAGAGAAAGAAGCAAAGATGTACTAATTAGCACAGATCTAAAAACACGAAGTGAGATTTGGCATACAACTTAATGCCAACCATTTGGATAATGCTCCCTTTTTTTTCTTTGTAAGCTTATATCTAAGATGTATTTACCAGTTGTGAAAGCCCAACAAAGGTAAAATGGGCTGGCTTCCAAGAGTTGCCTTTATACTTGGAGGCTAAGAAAACCCAAAATACTTGGAATCATTCACTTTACTTTAATATTTCAGGCCACTCATGTTTTTTGTGTCCATAGGAATGGCTCCAAGTGGTATCAGCATCAAATAGTATTTTTTAAAGGTTCCAAATGGCATTGCTTTTGTGCTGAAGTCAAAAGTCTGAGAGAACAATTGTCTGTCCTGTCCATATGATTCCTGATATTATATGTAAGGATATGTCGAAAAGACATATATTTTAAGTTTTAAAAATAGCACAAGAACAAAAAACCACAAGTCTGGTGGACAATAGGTAAGTTTTATACGACTGTTATCATAGGTGGAATAGAGCAAGTGGCCCATGGACAGTGGCTAAATATTTTGATGGGAGTTCACTGAACCAAGGGCAGAAGAAAGGAAGCCACTGAGGGAATTTTCCAACGTTCAGTGTTTTTAATGTTCCGGTGTTTTCTGTGTTCCTCTTTCTACCCCCCACCAACATGCTTTGGTTTTATAAATAAGAGAAATGAGGCATAAAATATTATGAATTTTCTTGACTGAGAAAATAAGCCAAATATTTTGTTTTTTACCCCTTTGCTTGTGTGCCTTGGCCTAAATGAGCCTTCCCTTCTGTTTGCCCAGCAGAGTGGGGTGAGGCCGGGGCAGAATTGCACTCTCCTTACACATCTCAAACAAAATGTCAGCCAGTTCCTATCTGCGTCTATTTATTGCTAGTGATGTCAGAAGTAGAACAAAAGTAGACTTGGTTTCAGATCCAGACTGCAGGCACCTCACAGTCGTCAGCAGCAAACTGCAGCCTGCCTTGCCCACATTTTGTGTTGAGAACCCACATTTTTCTTTTCTTCCCCTGGCATTTACAAGTTGTCATAGCAGCTTGTTTAGGACCACTGCAGTGTTGAAAAGGAGTCATCTGTCACTCCAGAAAAAACTTACTGCTTAGTAACTAGAGGTATACAGGGATAATTGGGACACGGATATGATTTTAGTTCTTATTACTTCTATAATAAAATCCAGTAAAAATTATTCACACTGAGGATTCTGTTTTGTTTTATTGTTAGTAAAGAGTGAGTTTTATCATTGTTGCTTTTTGCCCAAACCACACACTCGTGACATTGTTATTGTACTCTTAAGAAAATTCTATCTTGGGTACTGTAGGAAAAAAATATTCTTTGTGCCAGGAAAATAGCTTGCCCTGTATATAAGCCAGCCTCAGTCAGCTGGCCCATCGCACTGTATCTTTTTGTCCCATTGGATGATAGCCCTGTTAGTGTTCCTAAAGCTTCACAAGGGGATACACATCTCCAGATAGGAAAGTCTCCCTCACCTACTTCTGACAGATACTGCAAAGCAGCTGAGCTGGTGAAGGCTCCTGAGGGCAGGGCTGAGGCAGAGGGAAGGCGCTTTCTGCGTTGGTTCTCATAATGATGCCTGTGTGTTCTATTTGTAGTACTACACGGAGGAGACAGTGTATGAAGAGGCGCCAGGAGAGGTAAGGTCCTGTCCATACCTGCACAAACTGTTCTCGTTAGAGCAGGAAGAAACTTCTCTCTCAGACTCCCAGGGCCACAAAGATGGCAAAGGAGCACCTGAGGGAGGATCACCCGCCCACCTGTGCCCACATGCTTGTGTTAAACGAGCAAATGTTACCTGTTTGGCAGGTTATTTTACTATTTTTGCTATCTAAGCTGGTAGGGGAAGTTTTCCCCCATTGTTCATGTGGCGGGGGTGTATCTGTTTGTCTGTGTTGCTGATTAGGGTAATGTTGGCGACTGTCGTCACTGCAACTGTAGCAAGAGGCTGGCATTGGTGACTAGCATGAATTGCATGGGGTCAGCAATTTTGCTATGTAGAATTATAATCTGCAGGATAGTCTCTGCCACCAGGGAGAGTGCCTCTAAGACTTGGTACCTGATCAGTGAAATGCAACTCAGATTTCGGCACATTATGAATTCTGAGAAGGCTATTCCCATAAATATCCTGAGTTCAAATTCATTTTTTCCCCTACGGTGAAGTACTTTCTCAGAGCACTTCACTTTCTGCATAGAGCTGCTTCACTCTGAGCATGAAAAACAGTGATCTGGAAGTTTAATCCTGGAACCTGCTCAAAGAGCCAATAACTGCAAAAAAACCCAAAAAAACTAATATTGATAAATGTTGTAAATTGATTGGTTTCTCATGGTCAGCCATGCATCAGTAATAATGGGTGGAAAGCAACCAATTGGTAATGATCTGAACAGTAGGGACAATTTTCATATATGTACAATTTCTTATGTTTCTCTTTTCATAATTGATGCCATAATTCTTCCTTTGGTACAGATGACATTTGCTGTGAAAAAAAATGATACTATGAGATGGATTGATGGCTTGGGTGCTTATCTTTTCTTACAATATTTTAAATTTTGGACTAGATTCAATCTTTGAGTCTTAGTTTTTTTTATAATACCCTTCGTAAGAGACAGTAATTTCCTATTACATAGATAGATTTGTTGTAAAAATAATTACCCCAGTATGTTGTAATTGTTATTCTTGTCCAGCTAAGCATTTAGTTGTGTAAATGCCATTATAGTTCATACTCATAACTAAGTCAAGACAATGATAATCACTTGTAAAATTGATGTGATCCATTTTTTTGAAAGTTTATCTTTGTCTCACAATATAGAGAATAATGCTAAAATGCCTACAGAAAATGCACCCAGTTTTCTTCTTATTCAATTGAAAATTAATGTTAAATTTAAGAATTTAAGTTTTATTTGGTTGCCTTAATCTTTTGCATTTTACCATATCCAGACAACTTAAGAAAATTTTCAAATGTTGAAGAATATTTTACTTCTGATTCTTTATACTTCCATAAAGTGTCTGTCTTTCTGCAAATGTAACTGTAAGGCAATGTTCAGTCAGCATTCATAGTTATATAGCATAATGTGCTTTCTTGTGGATAGAGTGTGTGACTTCCTGCTTTGTTCTGTTTTAGATATTTAGAAATAACACCAGGAATGTAAATCTGACTTGAAGTTTGAATAATATACACCAACACTCTTATACCAGTGTTTTCACTTTTATAATGGTGTTGAACTGTATGTCAATTTTTCAGACAATAACAAAAATCATTGAAACTACGACTACAAGGACAACACCTGGCTATGATGAATCAAAAACTTCCAAACCAGCACTGGTACAGCCAGAACCGGCAAAGCCAATGAAGAGGAAGAAGGTCATCCGGAAGGAGGTGGACTCTTCCAAATTCATGACCCCTTACATTGAGCACAGTCAGAAAATGCAGAATCTGTTTAGCCCAGTAAGTCTGAAACTCTTACTAAGCTGGTTTTATTATTAAGAAGTTAATGATCTTAACAAACAGTTCTCAATACTGGCTAGATTTTTGTTTCTCAATCTTGATTTTTTTTTTTGTACTAGGGATTTAACTTGGGTCCTTGAACTTGCAAGGTAGGCAGCGGCACCACTGAACTAAATCCCCAGCCCATTTTCTCAATCTTGAATGAAACAAAAGCTCGTCTTGCAGAAACATAAACTCGTTTCTTATGACTCTTGACTTTTTTCTTTATGTAATCCATTTGTACCATAGCTATATCACGGTGAGCATCTCTGTTGGAGTTATTCCTGTAAAACAAGCATAAGACCATTTATAAAACATTGATTGGTTTTTAATCATGATCAGCCAATCTGGAATAATGAAATCGAATATAAATTTAACAGATTAGTTCAAGGGAGCTAAAAAATACATGTATAAACTATGTCTGAATGAAACAGCCTCTTAAGTAGAATGGCTACCAGTATATAAAAATGTCTCTAAGAGGTATATATTGAAAAAAATTTGTGCAAATAAAGATAAGATTAAGAATTGATTTGCAATTGAGAATAAGAATGGTCATCTATACCCTAGAACAGTGTGGTTTTAAAAGCACGGCTACAGAGTGAAATCCCCTAGGAGCTTTAGAACTACTGATGTTCAGTTTAATTGGTCCAAGGCTCAGGCTGATGCGGAAAGATTTTTTAAAAGCTGCTAGGGTGATTCTGTGGGTAGCCCAAGCTGAGAAGCATTGTGCTTGATGATCTCTGGTCCTTAATTCTCATGGATGGTCATTCAGCTTACATTGTCTGGCAGTGAATTTAGACCCATTTCAATTAATCTAATTTAGCTGGGGATTTAGCTCAGTGGTTCCGCCATCTGCCTTGTGAGCGCAAGGACCCAAGTTTGATCCCCAGTACAAAAAAAAAAAAAAGTTTTTCAGTTAATCTAATTTGATAATTTTCCAAGGTGGGTTGAGGTCTCATTAGGCAGTTTGATTGTACATTCTCTGAGGGCTTCAGAAAATGAAATGTAGCTTGGGGATCATTGGAGGGTATGAGACTAAAATTCATGTTAAAAGCATCCGGCTGTGGAGGGCCAATAAATATTCACATTTGGTTGTTAACTCTTGGAGGCTGCTGATGACTTAAGAGAGGTTTCTTAGAAAACAAAATTTTCTTGCTTTTAAAAAATATCACTCTGTTATTCAACAAAAATAGACAATTGGTTAATTTATTGCCATAAAATGTTATTAATTCAGAGATTATGAACCTAGAATTTCTGATATTTTGAACAGAATGTTAACAAAATTCTGTAGTATTTTTAAAGTGGTTAGTGACTAAACAATTCAGATTGTTGATCATTCTACTTGAGGATTCTTTGAAGCCTTAAGAGTGACAATTACGTATATTACTACTAAAGCAAAATTTTATTTTATTGTTAACAGAAATAATAGAATTGCATTCCTTTACAAAATATTCCATAATTTAGACTTTCCATTAATTCCACTGGCAACTCAACTATTCAAAACACTGAGGTTTAGCTGTAATTTCTGAATTGAATATTTTTGCATTGTATTAGCAATCAAATCTTTTCAGACTTCCCTCATTTTCTGAATTTATTTTCTAAAATAAGTGAAGTTCAGGCTTTTTTATGTCCGTGAAAACAATTTAAAAAAAGGGATAATCATTTTAGGGTATTTCCAAGATAATAATCTATAAAAAATTTTTCCACAATCTCCAGGATCCAGTTATTTTTAGGAAGAGCAATTAAGATTCTCTTTTGGTTTTTGCTGAGAGGGTATAACTGTTATAACTTGGAATTTAAAAAATTATATTGGGATGACTGTGTTGCTTGAGATTTCTGCTGCTGTTTTGTCAGGGTGTGGGCTAATTTCTGATATGCTTTTTAGAATAAATATAAAGAGAAGTTTGAGAAAGTAAAAGGACAGCCATACGCCAGCACAAGTGATACTCCAGAACTTCGCAGAATCAAGAAAGTACAAGATCAACTCAGTGAGGTGCGTTGCTTTGCTAAAATAGAGACATTTCAAAAATATGCCTAGCACTGGGGACTAAGGCTCTAAATATAAATAGAAAGAATAAGGGATGGAGAAAGCAAAACTTGTAGGTTATATTGCTGTAACTATGAACCCAGAGACTTTTTTCCCCCAATTTTATTTCTAAAAGCTTGGTTTAGCAGTTAGTGTGAGAGAAGACTGAGATGGAAACTTTAATTCACTGTGGTCCTCCACACAAGCATGGTGAGGCTGAGAAGCACCAGGCTGGAAATTTGGCCAGGAATGCAGAGTGGTGGATACAGGTGTTCTGTGGATCTTTGCAGAGCACAGTGTCCCAACTAAAATGCAGAAGCTTTGCTTTGTGATGCAGACTTAGGGCCATTGGGTTGATGTTCTTTATTTATATGCTATTTTTTGACATACTCACATGTTCATGCTTATCAAGAACTCTAATCTTGCATTATTCCGCAGGTTAAGTATCGAATGGATGGCGATGTCGCTAAGACTATCTGTCATGTAGATGAAAAAGCAAAAGATATTGAACATGCAAAGAAAGTGTCGCAGCAAGTCAGCAAGGTAAGATGGTGGCATGGGTGGCTGTGTCCCACGGTGTTATATCTGCTCTGTCTTGAAGGAGAATGGGACAGACCTGATCCTGCTCACCAGTGCCATAGATAGGGTGAACTGAGTCCCCAAATTCATGAGTCCCCTCATGAGTTCCCTCATGAAGGGGGTTCCATAGATGGCTGAAGTAGTCCACAGGAGGGACAGGTGGATTAAGGCTTCTATAACTTGCCTGAAGAGTCAGCTACAACTCAGCTGCAGAAGGTCGCTGCCCTGAATGCGGTCTCACTGCCACTGGAATCTCTTTTATCTTTTAAAGATCTGGGGAACTAAATTTTAATAAGAAATTTTCAAATTTCAAATGCAGGACACTAGTTATTAGACATTTTCAAATACCATACAAATTTTTTGAAGATGTGTCCAGTTGCCAAATTGAGTCAAGGATTGGCTGGTTGTAACCTTTAAAAACAACGTTTAGAGAATCAGAATCCTGAATCAGTTTTTTAAAAATTAGAATTTCAAGAAAAGATTACTAGTATGGTGAAGTATCTTAAGATGTTGACATGTCCAACATTTTCCCGGAAACCCAAGGGCAGCTTGTGCTTGAGACTGCCTTCACCATTCTCCCTCTGTTCTCCAGTTCTGTCTACCACGGGTTTTTGCTCTTCCTGTCTAGGTTTTATACAAGCAGAACTGGGAAGACACCAAGGATAAGTACCTGCTTCCCCCTGATGCCCCTGAACTTGTCCAGGCCATTAAGAACACAGCCATGTTCAGTAAGGTAAGAGCCTCTGCTTCATTGCCCTGTCTGTCTTCCTATGTAACCCAACCATATGCTTTAGAGCAATCTTTGATAAACTCACAATCTGAAATATAGTTTCCCAGTTGTTTTTATGAATAGCTTTGAAACAGAGTGAGCTTGCCAAGGAGTCATCTTGAGCTCCTCTCAAGGACAGTTCTTGGACTGAGTGGCAGAGAGTCCTTCGAGAACCTGAGCAGCCTAGGGGGAATGTACTCCTTAGAAACACTTAAGATTTCAACAGTATTCTCGATTTTTCTGTAGATTCTGTGTTACACTTTGGATATCCCTGGCTGTCACTTTTTAGAAGTTTATTTTATGGCAGAAACTACAGGAAATGCTTCCTGGTTCCTTACATTTGTGTTCACACTTATTGTGGGGGGCAGGTAAAGTCACAAGGAGGGGATGACATTAAATTAGGCACATCTGTCCCCAGATCAGGCACATCAGGACAAGCTATTGATAAGAATGTCATGGATTTGATGGAAATGGAGAGTTTCTCTGTGAATTTCATTTACCTTTGCTCTCACCTTACCCTTGACTCCTTATACCATTGATGAGTAAGTTTAAAACAGTGTATATCATGTAAGTGTGATCTTATTTTACTCATAACTTTTCACTCTGTTCTGGTTTAGAAACTGTACACTGAAGACTGGGAAGCAGACAAAAGTTTGTTTTACCCATATAATGACAGCCCGGAACTGAGGAGAGTTGCCCAGGCCCAGAAAGCTCTCAGTGATGTAAGTGAAGTGTAGTTGACACCATTTGGGAGATTGGGTTACGGCTTCCACAGATGATCACTGCTCTTCTGTTACAAAGACTAAATGCCATTATTGCGGAGGAGCACATTTAGAGTCATAAGTCATAATATCTCATTTAAATTTATATTAGACACAATTTATACCTTATATTAGATATAATGTAGTTCAGTCCTTCCTTCTTACAATCAGGAAACTGTTTCTAAGCCCACATAGAAAGTTAGTGACAGAGCCCAGACTTGTGACTGCAAGAGACCAATTTTTTTTACCACTAGAACATGCAATACTCCTTCCCCTTGTCTCTGGTTAAAGACATTCTGTGATAATGGAGTTGTATTTTCTAAGCACCTGTCAGAATCACAACCTCCTATGTAAATTTATTAAGTAAACAGTGTTGTTGAGAGGCTTTGCTTTGCTTTTTATGAAAGCTGAACTCTTATGTTTCTTTTTCTGTGTGGGGAGTTAATTGGCATACTTGTTGAACATCTTTGCATAGTTATCTCACAAAAAAGCTCTTAGCAGTGATGTGCATAGAGGATAATTTACAGTTAGCAAAAAAAAAAAAAAAAAACCAGTAGTCTCACTTGCCAGAATTTTGATATCCTAGAATATGAATGCTATGTACTAGAGGAAATTGAAATGCCTGATAGTCCTCAGATAATCCCATTTAGAGCTCTTGTTTAGTGCTCTTGTTACACGACATTTTATTTCTTGACCATTGGATTTGCTAGAAACCATACTGAAGAATCCAGAGACCACTACTCTATTCTTTAGAAGATCACTGTATCATAAAATAATATGTTTCCCTCAAGAAATTTTTACCACTCTTAAAAAGAATATGTTATTTGACTTATACTCAATACAGACTTAACAACAAGACAATTGAGACTTACTGAAATTCAGTCCCATGGATTGTAGGGTTTCATCTTGCCCTGAACCAAAACTATATATACCCAATTGATGGTGTCTCCAACTTTGGAGATCAGTTTGTATTGCCTCTCATTTCATGTCAACTGTAAATTTAGTGAACATAGCTTGTATCTCATTTTCCATATGATTTATTAAAATGTAGCACAGTTAAACTTTTACCCTTCTATAGGTCATGTTAGGAAATAAAGCATAGCAAATTGAAGTCCTTTAGTACATGGTACAATTTTATTGTGTGAGTATCCTCTGCTTGTCTTTTAAGATTGGTTTTTTGGTTCTGTATCTAATGAATTCATAGTATTATTGAAAGATCTTCATCAAGTACAGCCGGGTGTGGTGGTGCACGCCTATAATCCCAGCACTTGGGAGGCTGAGGCAGGAGGATTGCTGTGAGTTCGAGACCAGCCTGGGCTACATAGTGAGTTCCAGGTCTGTCTCACCTACATAGTAAGAACCTGCCTCAAAAAAAAAAAAGAAGAAGAAGATCTTCATCAAGTGATCAATAGTTATTTATTGAAAGTACTATGTATAGATACCTGGTGAAATAGAAAAATATTATGAGAAGTTTTGATGATTTCCCCCGAGAATTTATAATTAGGCTTATAAGATGAAATGTTACATATTAAACAGTAAGAAAAAATTCAAAACAATCTAGTAATTTGCTATTAAAGTATACACATCAATACTCATAGAGGCCTTCAGAAGTGATGATCAGGGAAGGGTAGCGAAGAATAAAGGTATTTCAAGCTGAGGGAGTGCTTGGACCAAAGGATGGGTGAAATGAGTCTGAAGTGTTAAGGAATAACATACGTGGACAATGTAAATGTTTTGTTTGGAGAGGATTTATGAGCTTGCTGGCAGCAGAACTTTAAAAATCAGACAAAATAGCTTTGATATGATAGAGTAGGCAATAAGATCCTAAGATTCTGGAGAGAAGAATATGATAAAAAATACCATCTGGAGACATTCTGATTGGCACAATGTGGGAAATTAGGAATAGGAAAGGCTAGAAATCATGGTAATTTATATAAGTCAATTTTAGTACTATAGATGGGTCAGAGAGATGATAGGGAACAAAGAAGAAATGAATCTGAAAATAGTATTAATGAGTGGTAACTGGATATTAGAGACAAAGGAGAGAAAGTAGTCATAGGTGAGTTTATGACCGTAGACAGCCTGAGTAAAAAAGGTACAGCTGGTAAAGATGCATTAATGGAGAAAGAAACTGACCTCAGTTAATGAAAGGAACAGATGAAGGCATCCTGTTGCTTAGATGGGAGATCAGGACAAGAACTTAATATTTAAAAGTCATCAAAATAAAAGCAGTAGCTCAAGACACAAAATGTTTGAGGATGCAGAAAAGAGCACAGCCAAGGGCAGAGTGTTGGAGGGTACCCATACTTAGGGCATCTGGAGAGCTGCCTGCAAAAGGATGAGGGGACAGCAGAGAAGTTGAAGGGCAATCAGGAAATGCTATGTCATGTAAGCCTAGAGGAGGTTTCCAAGAAGACACTTAATCTCCTGGTGTCTCCCTTAATCCGTAAAACAGAGATGAAGGATCACCTCTATAGTCCATTGGTGTATGGACTGTGAACAGTTGAAATTGGCTACATTTTGGAGATATTACAATAGAGGACATGATGAAGGAGAATATACGATAATGAAGTAAAATCTTCCCCACTTCTTGGCAGTTAGGATATAGCTTTTATTTCTATTATAGACCCAAGTATGCATTATCAGTTTACCAACAAGGCTATTAATACTATTGTCAGCACCACGAGTTTCTACATTTAACAAGCGCAGCCTCCTAAACAAGCTGTTGTTCACACAGCATGCCACGGGGTAGGCACATATACTTTGAGATAGAGGCTTGGGTTTGAGGCTCTCTTTCTCTCATGTCCCTCTTAACTCTATTTACCATGGTTTCTTTATTATCTAAATAGAGACAAAAAATTGCAGACTCTAAGAGTTTCTTCAAGCTGAGCTATAATGCAGAATTCTAAATAGGCGGAGCCTGTCATTGTGGCACATGCCTGTAAGCCCAGTACTGTGGGAAGCTGAAACAAGAGGATCATGAGTTTGAGCTCAGCCTGGGAAATTTAGCCCCTGAGTCCCTGTCAGGAAAAAAAAAAAAAAATTCTAACTAGACAGAATTCTGAATAAAGTTCCTGATAAATAAGGACTTTGAGGACCGATTTCTGTGAAACTTCTTCACAGGACATCATACTTAATCAGCATTTCTCCTGTTTAAATGTTGTCTTCTCCCTAAGGACTGCCCCAGCCATGGAAAATTCCACTTGCCCTTTACCTAAAACAAAGTTTTTCACTCACTTAAAAGAAGTTTAGCTGTAGAATTTATACATTTTAAAACTATCTTTCACATCCCACTTGATTTGATATTCATGAAAGCTTTCGTTATATGCACCAGATAGATATTATTAGGATAAGATATAATTAGAATTGGTTAAAGTATAAGATAATTAGGACCCTGCAATTATCTAACTCCTTTTTTTAAATAAATAATAATTCTGCCATGTAGAAGAAAAAAAAATCTGTAGATGTGTCCCAGCTAAGTAGCAGAAGAGCTGGAAGGGCAACACTGCCCTTCAGACCTCACCTCAGGTCATCGGTCTGCAAGACACATATTCAGAAATCAGTGATTAAACTGTCCCTATAGTCGGGCACAATGCAGGCCACAAGGAGAGGACTTTCCTCTGCCACCTCAGAGTTCACAGCCCAAAAAGGGATGGGTATGTAAACAATAGTGATGGTGTCACCTGATAGCCTTCTTAAAAGTGAGAAGGGCCTTGTTGAGTAAACCCCAAGAGAAGGACATCACATCTGCCTGAGGCGTCAGAGAGAGGGCTGAGGAGGGAAAGCCATGCTGTCCTGAGATGTGGAAAGGCGCAGAGGTTCTTAGAAAGGTGGGGAGAAGGGAGAGTTGGGATATTCTGGAGTGAAGGAACAGCATGTACAAGGCCCTGAGGAACTTGAAGGCTAATTTATGAATAATTGGAAAAAGTGTTTAAGATTGGTGAGAAAAAAATCTGAAAGAGTCAGAGTGAGGGGGATGTGTGATTCATGGACACTGTATATATTTTTGGGCGTAGAAGCCTTTTATAGGCTGAAGGGAAGGAGTTCATAAAAATGGAGGGATTGGAGCTGTGAGAAAGAGAAGGGATGACCCATAGAGCTGGGTACAAAGGCAATGGAAGGAATGGTGCAGAGGGCGTGAGGCATGCCCTGTGGGGGGTGCTGCTCCTTGGATCCAGGGCAGGGCGTGGGAGTAGCAGAGATGGGTTGGAAAGATGTAAGAGGAAGTTGGGAATGAGATGGACTTGACTGGAGACCTAAGGGCAGTGTTGGGATTTTAGACTAGCCACTGGCACTAAGGCTGACCAGAGACACAATGGGATGTTCAAACTTTATTGAAGTCAAAGCAGGAATTGAATACCATAAAGCCATATAAAGTACCGGGCACAGAGCCCTAAGCAAGTTATTGTTCACAGAAAATACTACTAAGAAGGCACATGGATTTCATGTTACAGTTCAAAGGCTCTTTCCCCTGTACCACTGTCTATGTCTCTCTCTTTATCTCTGTGTAGCGCAGTCTTATTGTCTCATTTATACATCTGTAGCAGTCAGCATTACTATGTGATGGAACTGATCCAAAATTGGAGATTGGTGAAGTGGGTAGGAAGATAAGACCAAAGGTTGAGAGTTGAGGTAGCTGATTAAAAGAAAGTTGCAATTATAAATTAAATCATGAAAACAAGTGCAAGGAAACAGATCTAGGGCCAAGGGTCCTAGAGAAGAGGAAAGATTCAAAGAAACAGAAATAACTAGCAATACTAAGAGCAAGTCTATGTAACATGCAGAAGGTTTTGGTTACGTGGCATGCTAAAATTTAAGAATTCAAACAAAGATTAGAACATCATCCCTTTTTAAAAATGCCAACAAATGCAATATAAGAAATAGTATAATTATCTATGGTTCATGAACCTCTCTGTTTTTTTAGATTGCCTACAAAAAAGGTCACACTGAACAACAGTCTCAATTCACACCTCTGGCTGATCCTCCAGATATAGAATTTGCCAAGAAAGTAACCAATCAAGTGAGCAAGGTAAGTAAATACAGCTGAGACACTGTCTCTTTTGAAAACTCTTCTTAATAATTTCAGCCATTAAGGAAAGAAAATAGAGGTGAACCTGAAGATGAAACACAGAGTTTTTGCATGTGATCCCCAAACTCTGTAGCAATATATCCATCAACAGCATTTACTAAGGAAAAAAATGTTTATCCAGCTTGATGATTCAGTAACTTTTAAATGTCAATCACCTTGGGGCTAGGGATTTAGCTCAGTGGTTCGGTGGCCTGCCTTGCAAGCGCAAGGACCCGAGTTCAATCCCCGGTACCAAAACAAAACAAACCAAAACAAAAAAATGAACAAATATCAATCACCTCATAAAAATGGAGTCTATATTCTAATATCACTTGATTATTTTTACTTGTGAGAGTGATACAGAGTAACTAAGTAACCACTCCCTTCCGTGGAGGCTCTAGTTTATATCAGTGTAAGATCCATTGTAGCTTATGCTGTCAGATGTGGGTAAATATGAATGCAGAGTGGGCTCTCAGACATAGCCTAGTTGACAGCAGTGGGCAGTGGACTTCTAACTTGAGGTCCTAGCAAATGGCTTAGTCTGTCTATCTATATTTAGGCTGATAAATGAGCTCTGAGGAATGCAGCCCTGACAAGGAATGCAGGAAGACAAATGTTCAGCTAGTTAATGAGCTATGTTAAAGTCCTGGTACACATGGGGTCACTTTCTCCTGGGGAATTGCTGCTTTTAAATACCTTTCTTTGTCCTCTATGGAGTTGAGTCTGAGTTTGGTCTTCTGCTTGAATTTTGATGGAATCTCAAGATTTCTATTTTAAGGGTCAGGTATGGTGGTGTGCTTATGTAATCTCAGCACTTGGGAGGCTGAGGAAGGAAGATGGACAGGAGCTTAAGTCTAGTCTGGGTTACATAGTGAATTCAAGGCCACCCTGAACTACATAGTGAGAGCTTGTCTCACACACACATGCGCGTGCGCACACACACACACACACACACATTCTATGTTAAGTATTTTTTGAGGGGAAGTTATTTCTTTAGTAGAGGAAAGAAAAAAGATGAAATATATTTAGTAATGTGTTTTGGTGCCTGATTTGGCAGATCACTTAGCTATATAAGCAGGGGCTATTTGGAAGAAAGATCTCGCAAGAAAAGTGACATTTTACTAATAGGAATACCACCAATCTGACATTTTCCCCAGGGCTAAGCAGAGATTAACTTGAGAACTGTGCATAAAATGGTGGCTCCTGAAAGCCTCTATAGTGGAAATAAGATTGGAAAGGACAATTTACCTTTTTAGAATAATTTTTAAGTGATCCTTTAGAAATAAAAGGGAACTATTTTTAATTTTTATTTAAAGCATATTTTAAAAAGAAATCTTAGTAAGGAAATATTTTTTCACTTATTTGGGTATGCAGTATGGGAATCTAAAAATGAGTTTAAAAAACACCTTTCAAACACCTCTGTAACTATTCTCTCAATGGCTTGCCAGTTTGTTCAGTGCTGCACTTTTCAGTAGCGTAGCCACTAGCTGAACGTGACTATTAAGCACTTGGAATATGACTAGTACAAATAGAGCATAAGTCATTGCGGGCTTTTATAACAGAATGCGGTACACAGGGTGGCTTAAACAACAGATGTTTATTTATCACAGATCTGGGGGCTGGAAATCCAAGATCAAGTATTCACTGCCTGGGGAGGGACTTCTTCCTGGCTTGCAGACAGGCCACCTTCTTGTCGTGTCTCCTCCCAAGGTGGAGGCCGTGTAAGAGCTCTGGTCTCTTGTTTTTCTACTAAAGACATTAATCCCATCATGGGAACCCCACCCTCAAGACCTCACTGAAAAATAAATTACCCTAAAGGCCTTACCTCTAAATACACTTGCATTGGGTTTTAAATCTGCAACATTTGAATTGGGAGTGGGAGGCAAATTCATTCCATAACACTGAGAGTCCTATATGAATGTGAAATGGTTCAGTTATTATTTTTACATTGATTGTATGTGAGAATAATAATATTTTGGATCTATTGGCTTAAGTAAAATAATTACTAAATTTCCCATCTGTTCCTTTTTGTATTAAAAATGTGAATAGTAGAGTGGCTTGCATTTTATGTCTATTGGATTATACTACTCTTCATTGGATGACAGTACCAAACACTTTGAATCATTGCCATACCTTGGTTTGTCACTGTAGAATATTAATGTGAGCTAAGGTAATAGTGGCTGTGGATAAAGGTCACTGGATTTGGCCACAGTGACCTAATTCATCCTAGTCTTACCAAGATTTCCAAGTTCTTAATGACTATTGTGTACCCAAAGTAATAAACATGTTGGAAAGTAATGCTTGAGCTTGGTAACAGTCATTGAACAACCAGCCACCTAAGAAAGGCCTGCCAAATATGAATTATCTGTGTAATTCTCTTCCCTTCTTTTTACCTTCGCCACTATCAATCTACTTTGACCCATCTTTCAGCATTATTCAATACTCTTTCCCTCCAAAATAGATAAACATCTTACACATTTAATTTCTTGGTGTTTCCTTGCCAAACAATGACTTCCAGAACTACATTTTATAGGTCTTATAGCCCCTACTCAGATGGGAAGGAGCACATAATCTCCAACGATTATATTAATGTTTTCTGTTTACCAGCCTTCCTAACTGTACTTGCCAGAATAATTTATTTCGCTTTGTCTTTGGTCAGTATCATCAGCTACGTGCAAGCAACTTGTCTTGGCTCAGGTGCATTCTGTAGCTCTACCATAGTTGGGCAAAGTTGTTCATATCAGTATTTCAGGTGAGAAAACAAGGCACTCTTGAATCAGCTAAAAGCCAGGTTCTGAATACAACATAGAGAAGTTCCCTTAGTTTCTCTGTGCCTGCCTCTCTACTTCCCTCTAGATTCATAATAAGAACAAAATAAAATTTCAGAATGGAATTTCCAGTTGATAAATAAAATTTTTCAGCAACACATTGTTACACAATATGAAGTTCTGATCTTCTGAACCCATGGAAGCTCTTCTATCATGCAGAATTAGGAAGGCTCCCATTGATTTTATCAGAAGAGATTTGATTGAATCAGGAAGGCAGCTCTGGGTTCACTGTCAACAATAAAAATATCAGTTGGGGTCCCTTCCACCCCCTCTGAAAACATATCTATGAATGAGGCCATCAGAAGTCCCAAGGTTCGAGACAGATGTGATTTCCTTTCCATCTGATAACCACATAAAACTACAAATGCAGATACATAAAGTTGAAAATGAAGCCATGTATTTAAGCAGACATTCAAGTGCTTGATGTGCATCCCACTGATGTATCCTGAATTGACTTCTGAAAAGGAACAACTATGATTTGGGGGAATCAGTCTTACTATATCTGTGGACATGTGGCACCTTCTTACCTACAGAAAGTGTCCCAAAGCATGTAGTTCATCTAATATACTTTCCACTTTTAAACAAATACTCCTAGAGAAAGTTAAATCAACTCTTTCCTTTCAGTTTTCATTAGGTTATTCCAGCTCCAACACAATGGGAGAAAAGTGTTAGGGGGAAATTCTTGGGTATCACCCAAAATGCCTAACACGCAGAGTGAGACTCCTTGGCTGGGCAGAGAGAGTCCCTTGTAGACGCCTTCCTTCCTCTTACTCTCCCTCCTTCAGCTACAGAGTTTTGTCCTTTCAACTTCTCTCTTACCTGTGAATGAAGTTGAAGGTCATAATGTCCTTAGTAGTTAACAAGCTGCAGCCTTGTCCTGTGTAGCGAAAATCTTCCCAGATTTGGGAGTATTCGGGAGTGGACTGCAAACAATCTATCTCTACCCTGCCCTATTTCAGCTGTGTGGTAGGAGGAAATAAGTTTTGGTTTGTGGAGGGTAAGAAGAGATGGGATTGGGTGGTCTTATACTTTATTTCACATCTTATTTGATATCTTTTTTTTCATGCTGAGACTTGAACTCAGGACCTTGCATTTGCAAGACAGGCATAGTGCCACTGAGCTACATCCCAGACATTCAATATCTTTTTTAAAATCAGATATCTGTCTCTCACTGTGAGAATTGATCTCAATTTTCCTTAATCAGTCTACATACACAGTACCTGTTTCTTAGTAATAGTCCTAGTTTTGGCCATCAGTAAGAACCTCTGATACTTTACAGCCTCAAGTTACATGTATGTAAAGTACTCCATATTCCAGCTCTGTGATATATACAGCCTGGTTTACACTTTTCAATCCTGGATATTTTCTCTCTTTGATAGAAACCAGGGAAAAGACAGTATCCCTACCAAAAAAGAAAATCAGAGATTAGGAGATGTTAAATTGAAGTATGCGTACAGTAAGAATCTCTGAGATTTTAAGTGTCTGTGAGCATGTCATAGCTTTCTCAGATTCCTGAAGCGGTCTTGTCCTCAGAAAGATTTGAAACACTCTATAGGTACTCTTAGTAAATCCAAAAATCAATTCTCTTGACTCTAATTCTTTTAAGTTTCAAAAGAGGTGGAAAGTTAAGTCAATTGGTAATATAGTGCAAATCTTAATCTCAGTAAAGATTTCCAATGAAGAATTCTTTCAATTTTTTTCCTCCATAGTATCTTACTTTCTGTTATGATGATAGCAGTTATTACAATTACTACAATGTTTATTTGTTTAGCACTGTGAAGTTTACAAAATCCTCTCCAGTGTATGATCTAACTTAATCTCCCCAGTAGTCCCTCTGTGTAAATGTGTCCTGGCAATTGTGGCTGAGGAATTTGAAGCTTGGAAAGGCTAAATTGTATCTTTAATAACGGTGGAGTTGGGCTGGGGATTTGGCTCAGTGGTTCTGCCGCTTGCCTTGCAAGTGCAAGGACCCAAGTTTGATCCCCGGTACAAAAAAAAAAAAAAAAAAAAAAAAAAAAAA